GGCGACAGAAGCCGCCAGCTTCATCCCACTCAACTGCGACCGGGGAGGCAGTGCCAGACCCCAATCCGGGGCTTTTGCTTCCCCACCGCTTCCCAAACCTGCCCCAGCCCCTCAGCGCCTTTCTCCTCGGCCAGGAGCTGTCTCCGGTCACGCAGCGATGCTCTGCGGCCGCAGCGCAACCACGAGGCAGGGCCAGACGCTTCCCACGCACACCCCCTCCCCAGGAAAGTCTCTCCTAATGAGACTTTGCGCATCCCCAACTATTGCCTCTGCCAACGTTCTGTCTCCGGCAGCTCTCGAGGAAAAGGAGCAGTCGAGGGGGACGCACCGAGGAAGCAGAGGTCAGTTCTGTCCCCCCGGCGAGCACCAAGGGACCGTTTCTCCACGTTCTCCAGCCCAAAATCACCCCAGGGAGATGTCTCACCTGCCGGCCCGGCCACGGTGCAGCTTCCCGCGGAGCCCAGCTCGGCCCGGGTACGGGTGCGACGGGCCTGGCTTGGGGCAGCCCCGGGGTGCGAGGAGGTGCCCCTGCTCGCTGCCGCCGGGAGCCGGTGAATGAGGAAACGCCCCGATTTCACTTTCTTTTCACAGCGTTCTGGTTTTGAACAACCCTGACGGCGCATCCTGGCAGGGCCCCGTGAATTAACCAGCACCCCTCGGCCTCTCCCTCACCCACACAGGATTTGCCACCCACAAAAGAAACTTCTTTTTAAGTGTCAATACTTTTTCTTTAAAGCGAGTATCACCTTCCCTTCCCGTTAGGGCTCGCCCCGAGCTTTGCTGCAGGTGTCTTTTTTTTTTTTTTTGATTTTTCATTGAAAGGAACGCTTGGATTTGGGTTTTTGGGGAGCCACGGGGCTTTGGCTGCGAAACACCACCCAGCCCTGGCACAAACGTTTGCAGCCTGCGCCAGCCCTTTATTTCTCACTCTGCTTTCTCCCTCCTTAATCCCCCCCATATTTCTTCAGCCTGTTCCAGGGGTCCTGCAAAACCAGCTGGGATTTTGCAAAAAGACCCCAGCAGCA